AAAAATAATAGATTAAATGGGTAGAAAAATTAATGGCCAAGAGGATGAATGCCTGCCTATGCAAATGAAACAAAAGCTCTAAATACACAGAAGAGTCAAACAATAGGGCATGTTTCTCCACTGAACTTGAAAGACTGAGATTTACAGCGGATTAAATGATCATCTGAGATTTCGTTCAAAACGATGCACCTTAGCCAAATAGATGCACCTTAGGCAAACTGAAAAGGTTGTTTTGATGTGGCTGATTGTAAAGCCATAAGGAAATTTGTTATGGAGCTTTTCATTGGGAGCCATCAATTATAGGGTTACCAGCGCTGTTGTGGAAAAAAAAGAGAGAAATCATGGTATTTAATGGTGTGTAAAATGGAGACAAGATGCAATGTAATAGCTTAAGGGTTTACGCAACAGAAAACATTATGATCTGAGAGAAAGGATCTCAATTTACCATCTCAAGCTGGGGGAGGAATGAGGGACAAAGGAATTTAATTGAAATCCAGTGATGAAACCTTCCTGATGTTGCAAGTCCTGTTCATTCAGGGAGATATTAAGGCAATTTACACATTCAGCAAATTAAAATGGAAGCATTTCCCCCCTCAGATTGTACCTCTGCAGACAATGGGGTGGTGGCAGAGTGTGTTTAAACACTCCCTTAAAACAAAAACAAAAAAAACCCCAAGCACTTCTCATAGGAAAAGTCAGAGAGGAAAAAAGTGATGACTCCTTTCTGAAATGTTAAATTAGCCTTTTTTATCCTGATGCCCTCAGAGATGTTTCTGGGAAAGAAATCTGGGAGCTCTAATCTCAACACAGTTAGGGGGAGATAAAATTAGGGATGGCACTTATTAAGTGTAGGAACTTTATTTACAGAGTTCTCAATTGCATGATCAAGCACACTTAGCCATGTCATTCTTTGTTGCTGATACAATTAGAGGTGAACATGGGGAACTTTTGACTCAATAATTTATACTGCCTGCTAGTGACCACTGGTTAAACTGATCATCCACATAAACTCTTCCCCCCTCGCCCCCCCCCCAAGTTCTGTATCTGACCAGTAATGGGAAGAAGCAGAAATATGATACAAAAAATGTATTTATCACTACTAGCTTGTATTCTACATATGTATAAATGTATGCACAGCTCTACGCCATAGGTAGTGTTTTGAATGGTTAAAGTGTGCATGGCCTATTTTAGATGCGGTTATCTTCCTGCATAGGAAATGCATTAGCTTACTGTAAATATTTGTTTGTAGGAATTTTGTGGTTTAAAAGTGCTTTTAGATATGGACATGTCTCTTAGTGATACAAAGTTCCTTTCACCAGCATAAGCCTGTACATCAGTTGGGATTCTAAAAAGATAGTCTGATCACACTTAGGGATGTATAAATACAGCCTGTTTCCTGTCCATGTTAGGCAGAATTCTGTTTCACAGACATTTTTAAAGATCCTTTAAAAATTCAGCATCCATATTCATGCATAGGTTTCCCTTAAGTTCCATGTTTTTGGGTATAACTTCCACAAATATACACAATTTTTAACATAACTCCCCTGAGAACTTATTCTGCATCCAGATTTTCATATGTCATATTTTGTTTCATCATTTCTGTGATGTAAGGTTTTCAAATGTAAACTTCCCAACTTTAAGATCTTTTTTGAAAAGTAACTACATTTCTTTCTTTCTTTTTTAAATGAAATTTGATAGTGAACTCTGTACAGGATGGCTATTAATATTATCATTGAGTGGAC